CATCAGAATTGGAATCTATTAGACTTCACAGAATCGCAGAATAAATTCATAGAATAAATACTTGAATAAAACAATGACGTAGGTAAAAGAAATATATATGTTTAAATGTTGTAATCTTTCAGTTAAATTTCAATTTGAATTTTCTCGATTTGTGAACGGTATCGATACATCGAGGATATATCGTGATTGTGTGCGTAGCCTTCTCTCGTTGATGCGCATGCATGGACACACGATGGAGCAGTGCTTCTCAAACTCCGCTTACTTGCTTATTAAAGCAGAATTAAATGACCGTTTCTGAAATATAATTAAAAATTTGTATGTAGAAAATTGTATTCAGGTAATAGAAATTCTAATTTAATTGAAATGTTTCGTATCTTTTGTTAGAACTCCGTACACATTGGAGACCTTCAAGATCCCAGTTTGAGAACCACTGGGAGACTGGTATCGTAGTGTGCGTAACTGTAATGCAAGTGGCGAGAATTTAGTAACAGTTTTAACGACGCGTCCCGCTTTGGAGTACGTAGATCGTGGGTTGGTCTCCAAAAGGGCAATGATACGATGAGTACTATCAGGTGTTTTGTGTTCGTGTTTGCGATTGCTAGTAATTCGTTCACCTCCGCATGTAAGTAGGATTTTCGTTGATTATTGCAAAACCTCACAGGGAGGATACAATCACTTTTTCGAGATGATTCAATACAGCCAAGCCCACTTCTCAACATGGCGTAGTCGAGTTAGCATAACAGACTTACTCATATAATGATTAAATTCCAATTTATTAACTCATTAACTTGGAAACAAAAAGTCCTGTATTATTCGTAATTTTGTCACATTTCATTTACCTATTTTCTTATACCATAACGCAATGTTTGTTAATCTCCAGACAGCATTTCATAATTGTTACATAAAATCTAATTTTGTGAATATATTGAATTTATGTTAAAGTTCGTAAATCCAAGTAAATCCAAACATTGAATCTATTTAATAACGTTACATACTTCTTTTATTTAATGTTATACACCTGCTCCAAACGTATCGTATTATTGACATCGCTTTAACTTTTGATTAGATGACGAATGCAACGAACCGCTTTTGGATAAAGCTCAGTTGAGAGCGACGTCCCAACTTCCTGAAAGGGGTCCATATAATGCCAGACTCAACGGTAATGTTTCCTTCTAACTTTCTGTAAATTTCATATTGCACTCTGTCGATATATATTTAATAACATTTCCTATTATTTCTCGTAAAAGTATAGAAATATCCCACTATCGGTAGTTTGTTGCTTGCTATATATTTTATACTTTTGAAGAAGTATACGATGATCTATTTTCAAGATTGCTTCTCTTTGTATTTAAAATTTTCATTTAACAACACAGGTAGTGTGTCATGTACCAATTCCTAGATGTTTCAAGCATTGTTAAATCGTATTTGAAACGCCTGCTGAGTGTTACATGGGCATTGATCTCATAAACACCCACACGCCTACTCAAATTAAGAGAACTTCAGATCTGGATTAGGTAAATTGAACTCACTGACTCATCTCACAGTTACTCTGTACATCTGATTACATCGTAAAACAATTCCTATGTTCCTATTCGAATAATTAAAAACAATATTACTCTTCGAATATATTTGTATTTTTGATAAATAAGAAACAACGTGAACGATCTTTTACATTATAATATAAATAAATACTACAAGTCAACAATTAAGAAAGTAATGTATGTATCTTGTCTATTTGCTTCAGGTGGATGCTAAAGAGTAGCCTGGTTTTTTACAGACAAGATCTTTTAAAAGTTTTAAGAAAAAGGAGGAAATAAGAATTCATGGAATATTAGTATATTAAGAGACCAACGTATGAAATTAGTGGATAAAATTAATTTTATAAAAATGTTTGAGAGTATTCGCTGGGCATTTAATTGGAAAGAATGGAATCCAAGCGAAAAGGACATTGCTCGCGCAATTTCTTGCGTACAGTTAGACGAGAAAGAGAGATTAGACAGATTCGTGTTTCGTAAAGATGTTAGGTCGTCCCTTGTAGGTCGATTAATGATGAGGAAATACGTTAACGATTACGGTCATATTCCATATAACGAAATAGTATTTGCAAGAGATACGCATAATAAACCAATTGTGAGGAATGCTTCTTTAAATTTAAGGTTTAACGTATCTCACCAAGGTAATTATACAGTTTTAGCAGGTGAAACGAGAGACGTAAAGTTAGGTGTAGATGTAATGAAGCTAGAATATACTGGTGGTAAACAGTTAAGCGAGTTCTTTCGCATAATGGGTAGAATTTGTTCGAGCTCCGAATGGGATGAAATAAAAAACACATCCTTAAATGACTCGGAACAAATTCATATGTTCTGTAGGCATTGGGCATTAAAGGAGAGTTACGGGAAAGCTACAGGTAAAGGGATTACGATCGATCTTGGATCGCTTAACTTTAGAACAAACTCGAAACTCGTTGATAATTCTGTTATCACCGATACAGTTTTATATATTCACGACGTAAAGCAAGACTGGTTGTTCGAAGAAACGTTATTAGACTCGGAACATTGCGTTGCTGTAGCGTTGCAAGAAAATGGAACAGCACCTCCATCGCGACATACTTGTTTCGAGATATTAAGTAGCGATAGACTCTTTGCAAATACTATTCCGCTGTTTCCACAGGACTCTGAATTTGCAAAAAAGTATTTGAAAAAAGTAGAATGTCCATGACTTCGAAACATTCGTATTTTGTATATTATTATAGTTTTTGTAATAAGGATGTACAGATGTCACGAATTCTATATGAATTTAGTCAGTGAGTGTAATAAATTAATGAGAAGTACTTGTAGACATTTTATTTCACCTTTTATGGAATGCTCGATGTTCTTATTATCAAGCGAAATTAGAGACTTCGCTAGTAAAAAATTACTACGTTACAAAAATATAAATCTTTTATAATATTTGAATGTTAAGCGCACTACACAATTCTCTCAATGTTACACTTTATCTTTCCTTTGCTTGGGAAAGGGATTACTTGAAAAATAATGTGTAAACCCGAAGCTTTTTCTTTACATTCGATTCTTTCAAGAATTATTTCCAACTGCTGCGATCGATTCTAATAGTCAGACAGTAGAAACGTTTAATTTCCCAACCAAAAGATTTTGTTTAACGTAAATTTTGTTTACGTCATTTTGAGTTGCATGCATGCGTATATGTTGTGGCGTAGGCAAAAACGCATGGACGGCTAGCAGCTCCGACTTTGGTCAGTACCTTATAGTCGACCTGGGTCAAGTAATGAACATCACAGCTGTGGCGACCCAGGGACGAGCAGTCCATAACGAGTATGTTATGGAGTACGGTATCAGTTATGGCACAAATGGCCTGGACTACGTTCATTTCAAAGAAGAAGACGGTAACGTTAAGGTAAACTGATCTCCCACAACTTTTCAATCGGTGTCTGTGCTAAAACGTAGCCGTAATCCTCGATGGGATTTGTTTAGGAAGGTACATGTATTTAGTAACTAATGCGAACTTCATTGCACTGCACTATCGTAACATGTCTCAGGTTTTGGCTAGTCATCGTTAAGCACCTTGGCATGAACAAATGATGTAAATTTTCTCATAGATCGATATGTGCCATTGCTAGGATTCATAGGTAGGTATCACCTGCATGTTTTTGCACAAGTACACACTTCTAGGATGCTTCTTTATTCATAGGAGTGAATATGTATAGCGACTCATATTTAATAAGACTATAATGTATCTAGCGAATAACAAATGATGTACTTTTAAATTATTATTATTTGTTTTCAAACTTCTAACACTGTCTACGTATAATTAATTTGTCAAAATTTAATCTAGTTATAAAAATATTAAAAGTGCATCAATCGAGATAAGAATTTTTGGAATCATTACTCGCAACACTTTCTTCCCTCTACTCAACTGCTTCGCTTCTACTCTTTCTTTTACACATGGACATGGGGCTGGGCTTTGCAGGAGGTTCTACGTGGTCACCAGAGCTTAGCAGTTATGATCAACATCTTACTGTGGACCTGGGATACAGATATGAGATACGCAGCATTGCCACACGAGGTCGTGCTCATACTAACGAGTATGTGACAGAGTACATTGTCCAATACTCTGACGATGGGCAAGCCTGGGCCAGTTATGAGAGCCAGGATGGTGTAGATGAGGTATTGATAGAGATATTGATTATAAAAAAAAAAAGATACGTAGAACTTCTTTGAAAAATTGTTGTCTCTTCTCGACAAGATAATAGACAGACCTTATTTCATTTTAAATAAAATTTAAGATATTTCATACACAATTCTTACAATGGGAAACATTGTGTGGTAGAAGTAGTTTCTTTTATTGGTGGAGGCAGAAAAGTCGAAAACATGTATTTAAATTTAGTTATTTTGCCAAGCAAAAATTTCCATTTTGAATATTCTCGATTCCACCTTCACATTTTCTACATACTATGCAAGAGAAGTACAGTAACGACTTCGTTTGCTTCATACAATCTTTTTAATAGACATTTTACATTCGCTTTGCACTCATAATTAACAATGCTATACTAACATAAAATAAAAGCATGCCATCGGTCGAATAATGTTTAATTTAGTACGTATTCCTGCGTGTTAAAATCTCAACTGTTGATGTTGTACGTACAGCAAACATACTAACCAGGTGTTGGAATGTTTGTAACATACATTCAGAAGACAAGAGTCTTAATATTTCAAATAAAATCTCGTTAGACTTATTATTATTCTGCAAATGATTACAGAACCTTTATTTTTCTTTCCCCGATAGATGTTCAAGGGTAATATAGACGGAGACACTATAAAACTGAATAAATTCGAAGTTCCAATTATTGCACAGTGGCTTAGAATAAATCCAACTCGATGGCGGGATAGAATATCGCTGAGATTAGAATTGTATGGATGCAGTTATGGTAAGAAAAATAGAAATACAGTTCTGCGAAGAAATCAGTTCCGATGGAAAGTGCATGTTTTTAATTTCTTCTTTTATTTACAGTGTCCGATGTCTTGTCCTTCAATGGCTCGTCTCTTTTGCGATACGATTTGTTAAGGGAACCAATAGAAACCGATAGACATTTTATACGTTTTCGATTTAAAACAAATAACGCCGACGGAGTCCTGATGTACTCCCGTGGCACGCAAGGTGATTACATAGCCTTACAACTGAAAGATAATAGAATGATATTAAACATCGATCTTGGATCTGGTATCATGACAAGTCTGTCCGTTGGAAGTCTGTTGGACGACAATATGTGGCACGATGTCTTGATATCGCGCAATAGAAAGAATATATCATTCTCGGTAGATAGAGTGCTAATTAAGGGAAGAGTTAAAGGAGAGTTTTATAGACTGGATTTAAACAGAGCGGTAAGTATTTAAGAAAGTACCAAGTATCGTCATTTTACTGCGATATTAACGATCAAATATTTTTCTCAGCTTTACATAGGTGGTGTGCCTAATAAACAAGACGGATTAATAGTAAATCAGAATTTCACAGGGTGCATAGAAAACTTTTATCTAAACGCGACGAGCATCATTCACGACTTAAGAGAAACCGAAGTTACCGGCGATAATTTGAGATATTATAAAGTAAACACGATTTATAGCTGCCCAGAACCGCCCATAATCCCGGTCACGTTCTTGACTCACGGCTCGTACGCTAGACTCAAAGGATACGAAGGGATATCGTCTATGAACGCCTCTCTCACGTTTCGAACGTACGAGGATCACGGGATTATTTTGTATCACCAGTTTACATCCCCGGGTTTCGTAAAGGTTTGTAAATTTATTCGAAAAACCGATTCATACAAAATACGTTAACGTTTCTTTTATCGTATATTCACAGCTGTATTTAGAATACGGTAAACTAAAAGTCAACATTCAAACAAAAGGAAATCCACTAGTATCTTTGGATAACTTCGATGAAAAGTTTAACGACGGGAAATGGCATCTGGTTATTTTAACTATATCGAAGAACAGCCTCATACTGAACGTCGACGGGACGCCTATGAGAACTAAACGCATGTTGGAAATGACGACAGGGTCGGAGTACTTTATCGGTGGCGTGACAGGAATAGAAAGCAACCGAGGTTTCGTCGGTTGTATGCGAATGATAAGCATCGATGGCAATTACAAGCTGCCGACCGACTGGAAGGAGGAGGAATATTGTTGCAAAAACGAGATAGTTTTCGATGCTTGTCAGATGATGGATCGTTGCAATCCGAATCCATGCAAACACTCTGGTATCTGCCGTCAAAATTCTGATGAATTCTTCTGCGATTGTGCCAATACAGGATATACGGGAGCAGTATGTCACACTTGTAAGCATTAATTAATTAAACTTTGTACTTGTTGAAATGGAAGTCGGGATAGGACAGGCTTGGCTGTTTAACTAATTTATACTGGTTAACAGTTTTAATATCTTTATCTCGACTTCCATTTCAACAGTACTTTTTCGAGATTACCTGAAACATGAAACTGAACTTGATGTATATTAACATTTATTTATTTCGCACGTAGCATTGAATCCTCTTTCGTGCGAGGCCTACAAGAACATAAACTCGGTAAATCAACGAGCAGACATAAAAATAGACGTCGACGGAAGCGGGCCGTTGAACCCGTTCCCTGTGGTTTGCGAGTTCTACACGGATGGCCGCGTAAGGACGATCCTACGACACAACAACGAACGCGCGATGCCTGTGGACGGATTCCAAGAGCCAGGCACTTTTGTTCAAGACATCATTTACGACGCAGACATGAATCAGATCGAAGCTCTGTTGAATCGATCGACGAACTGCAGGCAGAGAATCAGTTACGAATGCATACATTCGAAGTTGTTTAATTCACCAGGTAATTAAATTTAATATTGGGTTGTCTGGAAAGTCCATGCCAATTTTTAGTAGGCGGTACAGGTCTGAATATATCGGAATAGTTGAAAACAAATAACATGTGGACATCCCTGAAAAGGTGGAAAAAGTGTGGAACAAAATGGTACTTACATAATTCAATAAATATATTCCAATATATACAGGGTGTTTCTTTTAAGTGAGTACAGCAGGATATCTCGGAAGATGTTGTAGTTATTACAAATCTGTTTCTACAAAAGTTGTTTGGTATGACGGGCTACATCATGTAGTAGTAATTGTTTTTTGTGCGTAGAGTAATAGAAGAGATCTGGAGGTCAATGTAATTTTTTTAGATGGAATGCTATATTTTGTATACAAGAATATGGTAGAGTATCGAATTCTAAATAAAAAAGTGTTGACCTTTATTAGCCCTAAATCTAATAGGTAACGAGTAATTTTACTTTATTACTTGAAAATTTTCTTAACGTAAGCGGCTGAGAGCTAGCAAACGCTGCTGAGCAGCGTCGGTTGTGTCCGTATCAAATTACTGCAATTATAATACTATGAACACAGATTGAATATTTTTGCTAAAGATATTAAGTATCAATTAAATTTTCACTTACTTGTTCAATAATTTTTTTATCCTTCTACATGCTCGCCATCATTGGAAATACACATCTGTAATTTTGTTAAAAATTGTTTCTCAACAGCTTTTTAAAATTTCCTCCGATACTGATTTACATGCGGTCGTAATTCTTGTTCGTAAATCATTTACGTCTTTTACTGGTGTTTGATACACTAGTCCTTTTAAGTTACGAAAATTTTCAAGTAATAAAGTGAAATTACTCGTTACCTATTAGGTTTAGGGCTAATAAAGGTCAACACTTTTTTATTTAGAATTCGATAGTCTACCATATTCTTGTATACAAAATATAGTATTCCATTTAAAAAAATTACATTAACCTCCAGATCTTCTCTATCACTCCACCTACAAAAAAACAATTATTACTACATGATGTAGCCCATCATACCAAACAACTTTTGTAGGAACAGATTTTTAATAACTACAACATCTTCCGAGATATCCTGCTGTACTCGCTTAAAAGAAACATCCTGTATATAAACATTCAAATATACCTTTGAATTTTTCTTCAAAATTGGCACGAACTTTTTGGACAACCCAATACTATCGATACTAACCGTTTAATAAGAACGAAATGAATTGAATAAATACGTTTTCAGTGCCTCAAGGAGATTATTTTAGACCGAATTCGTGGTGGGTCAGCAGACACAATCAGAAAATGGACTACTGGGGCGGAGCGCTGCCGGGATCGCGGAAATGCGAGTGTGGGATACTCGGGAACTGCGTGGATCCCACGAAATGGTGCAATTGCGACGCTGAACTGGACGGGCCCTTGGAAGACAGCGGCGACATCACCGAAAAGGAATACCTCCCTGTTAAACAATTGCGATTCGGCGACACCGGCACCCCGGTCGACGAGAAGAAAGGTCGTTACACCCTCGGACCGCTTATTTGCGAGGGCGATGGTAGGTTCAGAATATTTTATTCGCCTCGTGCATGCGGACATGAAACTTTAATTCGTTTTAAATTCTTTGCAAGGTTCTAATTTACCTTGGTTGACCGCCAAGGTAAGATCAGGTAAGAAACTTTGATATGCGCAGATGTAAAAATCATCTTTCTGTTGTATTAGCTACCGTAATATAAATAGCAATTAACAAAGTACCGTTTCACGTACACCAAGCTAGTTCACACCAAGTATTGAAATTGACGATCAATCCTTACAAATAGATTCCTTTAGCAGTTCTAAGAACACGTCCCGTCCTATTCTATTCTAACATACTTTTCGTTTCATCGTAGATTTGTTCAAGAACGTAGTGACGTTCCGCATCGTCGACGCCACCATCAATCTCCCGACGTTCGACATCGGTCACAGCGGCGACATCTTCTTCGAATTCAAGACAACGATCGACGACGCGGTTATAATGCACAGCAAGGGACCCACGGATTACATAAAGATCTCTATAAACAGCGGAAATCAGATTCAGTTTCAGTACTTGGCCGGCAGCGGCCCGCTCACCGTGAGCGTGCAGACCTCTTACAGGTTAGCCGACAACCAGTGGCACTCCGTGTCGGTCGAAAGAAATCGCAAGGAAGCTAGGATCGTGGTCGACGGAGCGTTGAAGGCCGAGGTGAAGGAACCTCCCGGACCGGTACGTGCTCTTCATCTCACGTCGGATCTCGTGGTAGGCGCCACGACGGATTACAGGGACGGCTACGTGGGATGCATCAGGGCGCTTCTATTGAACGGTCAGTTGCAAGACCTCAGGAGGTTCGCGCGGCAAGGCCTCTACGGGGTCACCGAGGGCTGCACCGGCAGGTGCGAGAGCAGCCCGTGTCTCAACAACGGCACGTGCCATGAAAAATACGACGGATATTCCTGCGACTGTCGTTGGACCGCGTTCAAGGGACCCATTTGCGCGGATGGTACGTTAAAGGATACTAGAACTATTCCTAGAACTAATCTTCGTTCTTATATTAGGTCGTCCCATAAGTTCGTGCCGAAGACTGTGTCGAAATTTAATTAAAAGACCACAGAAATTTTCTAGTAACGATATAATGACTTTCAGATGAAAGAGATGAGAAACTATTGTGAAATGAGACAGATTATCTTTTCTTGTGACACTTAAGAGTATGTTACACATATTAATTTGAGAAATAGAAGTATAAATGGCACGAACTTTTAGGACGACCTAATACTATAACTTTATAAACTAACTCGAATCGTATTCTTACAGAAATTGGTGTAAACATGCGTCCCAGTTCCATCATAAAGTACGACTTCATGGGGAGCTGGCGGTCGACGATCGCCGAGAAGATCCGTGTCGGTTTCACGACGACGAATCCGAAAGGTTTCTTGCTCGGCTTGTTTTCGAATATCTCCGGGGAGTACATGACCATCATGGTCTCCAACAGCGGCCATTTGCGCGTGGTTTTCGATTTCGGTTTCGAGCGACAGGAAGTGATATTCCCCAATAAGCATTTCGGTCTGGGACAATATCACGACGTCAGAGTGGGCAGGAAGAACTCCGGGGCGACTCTCGTGCTGCAAGTCGACAACTACGAGCCCAAGGAGTTCAATTTCAACATCAAGACTTCCGCTGACGCGCAGTTCAACAATATACAGTACATGTACATCGGAAGAAACGAGTCCATGACGGAAGGATTCGCTGGTTGTATATCCAGAGTCGAGTTCGACGATATCTACCCTCTGAAGTTGCTGTTCCAAGAGGACGGGCCCGCGAACGTTCGTTCGTTCGGTACTCCTCTTACGGAGGACTTCTGCGGCGTGGAACCCATCACGCATCCGCCTTACAGCGTCGAGACGCGACCTCCTCCGCAGCTGGACGAGGAGAAAGTTCGAGCAGCGTACAACGAAGTCGATACAGCGATTTTAGGAAGCGTCCTGGCCATCATCGTCATCGCGTTGATTATAATGGCGATACTTATAGGGAGATACATGTCGAGACACAAAGGTGAGTATCTAACGCAAGAGGACAAAGGTGCCGAAATAGCGTTAGATCCGGACTCAGCGGTGGTCCATTCCGCTACCGGTCATCAAGTTCAAAAGAAGAAGGAATGGTTTATTTAAATACGACATTGTAACGCGCTGTATCGATCCTAGAATACGTTTATAGGTAAAGCTATGCATATATAAGTGCTCTTTGAAGTGTCATACAAAGGATTTCGTATAATATATTCTAAAGAAAGACGAAGACGGACGTAAACGGAGCTTATCACGCGATCAATATTTTACTAGTCCGCTGTGTACCGACGCGGATCGTTTTATGGAATTTACCATAGAAGGAACGATACGAAATTTTGTTTTTACTGTTTCGATTTAACGATAACAGTAAGACGAGAGAACTCTGTATAAAAATAAAAGAGACGGGAACGGCTAAACTTAACCGATCTACGAAACATAAGAAACTATATCGAACTATATTATAATGAAAAGTACCCTACTGGTACAAAGATAATAAAATTCTCCTGAAAAGAACTGAATATTATAGAAGCAATTCTCATCTTTTTAATTATTGTTTGGCTCAATATTTAGATTTGAAAAGTTAAAGTTATTATCAGAGTTAAGTAGCATACGACTAAAGGTAGAAGTAAAACATATTAAAACGCAGATACCCCTTTTACTTTATAAGGTAACGAATTCCCATTGTGTTTAATTACCTTGATTAGTACATTTAGTTGCTAAACGGTAGAGATAGTAATGAAACTATTTGTAATTACAAACTGCTGCTATTCTAGACTGCGAGGTGCATAAGTATTTATTGTACTTTTGTAATTTAGTTCGAGCTACACGGCAGGATAACATGCTAGCTATTTTGTTTTTCCTTTTTGAAAGAAGGAAAATAGTTGGTTTATTTTTCTACTGTACCATATATATCTATACTTTTAATATCAGTTGCCAAATTATTAACGATCTATCTGTTAACACGTTTTCGTAAAATCGGAGTATTTTTGACGTTGTGTTCAAATTCGCGGAACTCTTCTATCAACAACAACAAAATTCTGTACATATATAAGAAAACTTCAAAACTTTTCAACAACGTCCTATCATATGTATAATACTTTTTCCTTTTAGCGAAAATTGTTCTCAGTATTATTTGTAATGCTTACCGTCCAAAGTGCATTTTACTTTTCTCTTTTTTGTATTTATTTTGTTTACATTTGTTTTATTATGTATTACAGATATTTTATTTTTATCTCTCGACTTGTAATAATCCGAATTCGCTACTGTAATCTAACATTAGTCTAGTTATCACCAATTGTATGCTGTACGTATAACAGCGAGAGTGTACATATATCATTTTTATACGAAGAAAATGTTTTATTGTAACATGCCAGTGTATATTTTATATACTGTATTCGGCAGAACGCATGTGCTGCTCAATAAAGACGAAAATCACGATCAAGCAATGATAATCCTTTAAAGAGTTTAAAGTATAATTAGTTACGCGAGGTAAAGGACTAAAGGAGACGTAATAACGAAAGTCTAGCGTGATTGCCACAAATGTACCAGAAAACACATGAATTTTACATTTTCATGTAACCTAGAAAGAAGGTGAATATTACAGAAAAAAAAAATATATAAAATTTGTGAAAAAACATTAACCTTTATTTCTTCATAAAATATGTTTTCAATTTTAGTATCATTTAAACCATGTACTAATCGAAATAATGAATTTTATCATAACGTTTACAACTTACTGATCAAAACGATGACGGAAAAATCGTATATAAGTACAATTACAATTTTTTGTTTTTTTAAATGATCGCGAGCTTGTATTCGCGAAGCTACATGTACATTTGAAAATATCGACAAAGCATGCTACATTTGTAAAAAAATACAATCGCAAAGATGTCAACGATTACCCTACAACGAATAAGTTTCGTTAATAAATAAATAGCGAACACATAAATTATGTTTTGTACACTGTAATCGAACGAAAAAAAAACTGAACACAAATTTAACGCGTGAAGTGCAAGCACTAATCGGTATCATTTATCTATTTCATGAAAATAAATTCCTATAAGTTAATGCTTAACAAGACAGTAGAAAAAGTCATTAACCTTTTGTAGTATGGAAAATCTTACATAGTAAAATTACAAACTATATCGTTATTTAGTCGTTTTGATATATGTATATATACATATGTCTGAATGTATATCCGACATTTGTTTATAAAGAAAATTTTCATTATTCTACCGTATGTACATAAAAATAACATTTTCAAATTATAAATAATTAAATGGTAAATAATGAGTCGATCGGTTTAATCGTTAGTGCCAGATGTCGTGCTGCCGCTTCTACTCGCGTCACTGATTATTTGTTGCTTTGTGATTTGTTCCGCTTGATACTCCCCATCTGTCGAACGCGATAAATTTCATATAAATTATAACGATGAAAATTCGGGACTAATTCAATATTTGTTGGTTAATTACCGGATTCGTCATCGCTAACTTGTTGAGGGGAAAGTCTGCAACCCTTAGCTAAGTAATATTTTAATTTTCCCACGCTAGCTAAAATTAATCCTAAGAATGGAGGCGAAGGCTTCAAAGGTCTAGATAAATACTCCGGGTGGAATTGCGTGGCGACGTAATAACTATGCCCTTCCAACTCCGCGATCTCCATGCGTAGGTTCTCTTCATCGTGGCCTAAAGATATATATATATATATGTTATTTGAATTTCTCCGCTAGAATGTAATCAAATTATAGATTACCGTTACTTTATTCACCTACGAAACGCAGTCCCGCCTCTTCCAATTTGTTAATATATTTTGGATTAATTTCGTACCTATGTCTATGCCTCTCTTCTATGCACTCCTTGTTACCGTACAATTGTTCTATAAAAACGTGTAAATAATTAAGAATATTTTAATAAGTACAAGCGAATGTATCAGGTCATCTCATAAGTTCATGCTGCAGACTGTGTCAATAAAGTTTAATAAAGAAACTACGTAAATTTTATAGCGACGGTATAATTATACGTCACAAAGATGGGAAAATATCATGTTTTACATAGTAATTTGAGCACGAACTCGTGGGACGGCCTAATGATTTAACATTTCACAAATATCGTCCTACTGACTTATGACAGAGTTCTCCTTCGTGAATCGAGTGTATCTTTTACCAAGTCTCATCGTCCCGCCCATCTGACCTGAATTGTGTTCTGGCATATCTATGACGAGAGGATGATCGGTTCTCGGATCGATTTCCGTGCTATTCGCGGTCTCTATGCCCAAAACATTTCTCGCGAATTCGATAACCGCCACTTGCAAGCCCAAACAAATACCAAGAAAGGGCTTATCGTTAACCCTGCACCATTTACACGCTTCCATTTTTCCTAGAATCCCTCTTTTGCCAAAGCCTCCTGGCACTATGACACCGCTACGCACGGAATAGATAGCGTGAGAGAGCGAGAGATAAAAGTTTATATAAAAATTGTACAATAAACGAAATCTTACTCGCTTTTGCACAGTAGTTGCCAAGCTTCGTGATATAATACAGGATCGGATGTTTTCGTAGCTCGTCCTAGATTGTCAGCTTCTATGTACTAAAATTGTAATTTTTTGTATCGATCCCAGAAGTCAGTATCGAAGAGTTGCGTTTAATGCAATTATTGTTTACCTTTAAGTTAAGTTTGTAGCCAACTTCGATGCAAGCGTGCTGCAATGCTTTCGTGACAGACGCGTACGCGTCTTCCAATTTTGTGTATTTTCCTACTAGCACGATATTTACATCCTTCCGCAGGTGATCGATACGATCGGCCAAGTCTCTCCATTTCCTCATGAAGAACCGTGGTCGAGGCATTGCTAAGTTTAATTGCAGTCTTTCGTTTAAGAATTCAATGACGCCTTGAGATTCCATCAACAAGGGCACTCGATATATAGACGTCAGGTCGTGTATGGTTATTACCTAATAAACGCAAGTTTATATTAATTATTAAGAACAAAGAAGGTTGTAAGAAGGAAGAGAAACTTTACTTGTTCCGGTGCGACGTGACAGAAATTTGAAATCTTCTCTTTCACACAGTCACCTATGGGTTTCTCGGATCTACAAACTATAAGATCGGGAGACAAACCCAAACCACGTAGTTCTCTCACGCTGGATTGGGTTGGTTTTGTCTTCGGTTCTCCTGTGGACCGTGGCTGGAAGCAAAATACTTTTGAAATCCTCGTTTCTTTTTTAATTTTTTTGTTCTATTTATAATACTATCGATACCGTTGACAAGCATGTTTATATACACACGTAGACAAAGATTATATAATTCTATGGACTAAGAATAAGTCAAGTTAGTATCTGGCTGAAGTTCAAAGTCAAGATCTATAACAATGAAGGAAAATTATTTAGATAAAGACGATATCTTACTCGAGGTACCAAAGATACGTGAGCACAGCAGAAGTTTTCTTTTTTAACTCTGAACTGAAATTGTCTGAAAGCTTCGACGAATGGCATTCCTTCGATATCTCCTATCGTACCACCCAACTCGATGATACAAACCTACGAAGTATACATTAATCTCTGCATCATTAGAAATTTATATACGCGTAATTAAAATTTATAAATAGTAATATACAAATGTTACTTCTGGATTATCGCCATCCACTGTCACAGATTGCTTTGCAACTCTTTCAACCCATTCTTGGATAGCGTCTGTTATGTGTGGTATTACTAAATTCAAAATTAAATAGTAATTATTGTGCAAATCACATATATTAACAAAAGTACAGAATCATTCGAACGATATACCTTGTACAGTCTTTCCCAAATAATCTCCGTGTCTTTCCTTAGAGATTACGTGTTGATAAATTTTCCCTGTTGTTATATTGTTGTCTCTGTGCAGAATGATGTCCAGGAAACGTTCGTAATTCCCCAGATCTAGATCCACCTCTCCACCGTCATCCAATACATATACTTCTCCTTAAAAAAATATATTTCTATGGATACATGAAAGTCTTAAAATTGTGTTAATACAGAAACATAAAAGTAATTAATTACAAACATCGGATTGCGACATAACAATCTTGGTTGAATTTGAAATTTCTTATCGGGAGGGAGAAAGATTGTTCAAACTAAGAGACAGATATTCTCATCTAGATCGATGTTACGAATAAAAGATGACATTCGCGCTATACGTTGATTTTATTCGTCTACTATTAGAATAAAGTGCTCGGTCAGCGTAAAAAAATTTAATCGAAACAGTAGACGACGAATAAATCTACTTCAGATTTTTTGTTTATCCTGTCGAACAATTTGGAGTAAGTTTTTATTCGTTCAACGTAAAACATGGATTAAGTATACATATACAGGGTGTCCCAAAAATGTTGGAAGTCGTTGAAAGGGGTGGTTAGGGGGGTGATTTGAAACAACTTTTTCCTTAGGGAAAATGTTATCCGAGGCTTCTTTGAGGAGATATTAACGAAAAACACTGACCAATCAGAGCGCAAGTATGCCGGTGGAGCGCTCGCGGTAGCGTATGAGCGCGGCCGCTACATCGGTATACGCGCGCTCTGATTGGTCGGGGTTTTTGTTAATATCTCTTTAACGAAGCTTCGGACAACATTTTCGATAAGGAAAAAGTTGTTTCAAATCACCCGCCGAACCACCCCTTTCAATGACTTCCAACATTTTTGGGACACCCTGTATACCGTAGTTTTTGTTGGACAAGTATGCATCGATAGAAGTTCATTCGTTGATCGAGATTTTTATCTAGATAAAATTCGTGCTTATCTCTGATCGATGCGTAACACGTGACCGTAAAACTGCGCGGGCGGCAGCAACGTATAAAATGGCTTCTGACACCACATGGCTATATGAAATTTCCAAATTCGCAATAAAGTTATGTCGAACGTCGTGTATCGTCCGGACAGAACGGAAAACAAAGGAGGTATTGTTTCGATAGCGTACCGTGCTCGTACGGTGAAAATGTACCGGCATCTATATTTATATAAGGATCGATTTTGATAGACGTCACATGAATGCCGCAATGTTTAAGTATAGTTCCAAAGGAACTCGCAATAACACCTTTACCGACTCCACTTATCACACCACCGGTAACTAAAATATATTTCATATTTCTAGGATCGACTATTCTACGCACGACGTCCACAGCAAACACCACTACTTTCGCATATACACGTGTTCAAATGTCTTTATTTCACCGAATGATGCTCAATGAGAACGTAGTAAAGGCGCTTCTGCCTTAAATATGCCAATACGCGTAAATACGATCGAGATTTAGCGCCGCTACAGCTGCATACTTTTCGGGGCTAACTAAAGTCAAACATGGCCGACGAGCGGAAAATTTAAGATTCGTATATTTTCTACAATTAATTCGATTCTTTCGATAAAAGAAAATTAACTGGGTCCGTATAATTAGACAGTGATTGTTTTGTAATCGTATATTAAATTATTCGAATACATCGTATACAGGGTGTACCAAATAAATCTGAAGTTTGTCGATATGTGTTTGTCTCGCTTCCTCTTTTGAGCATTCTCCAAAGGAGGAAGCGAGACAAACACATCAGCAAACTTCAGATTTATTCGAAGTCTAGGGTTTTGCCCATCACTGTGGAAGTCCTTGAAAGGGGTGATTCCGAGGGTGATTTAAAACAACTTTTTCCTTAGCGAAAATGTTCTCTGAGGCTTCGTTAAGGAGATATTAACGGAAAACCTCGACCAATCACAGCGCGAGTATACCGATGGAGCGGCCGAGGTAGCGTATGTGAGCGGCCGCCTAGTGCGTAGCTTACGCTCCACCGGCATACTCGCGCTCTGATTGGTCGAGGCTTTTTGTTAATATCTCTTCAACGAAACCTCGGACAATATTTTCGCTAAAAAAAAAGTTGTTTCAAATTACACCTCGAATCACCCTTTTCAAGGACCTCCAACATTTTTGGAACATATATTCCACCTGTTTTCCATCTAGTAATATATATAGTTAGTGCCTGAATTGATTTCCGTGAGGGAAGTGTGCCGCCATTTCTTGTTGTCGTTTCACCCAGCACCTGAAAACATGGCCGAGGTACGTGTCACAAATCCCGCTGAAAATATCCAATAAAATCTCCTCCATCTATTACAAAATATATATATATATATACAGCTTGTCATAAGTTATAATAATTCTCAGTACTTTAAGGTTACAATATTAACGTCGATGACGAAGAGTACTTTTTAGTTCGTACACATAACCTCTTCGTAATCGTATCTCGTATGATTTCTAGGCAGAAGAAACCCAGAAGAAGAAGAGGGCTTTTCGAAAGTTCACCTTTCGGGGAGTAGACCTCGATCAACTTTTGGATATGCCAAAGTAAGTATTATTCGTATGAAACTTTAGCCTCATCAGTATCATTTGCTTCATCGGTTAACAAAAAGATGCTTGGCACTCGACTTATGCCTAGTAGTCAGTTTACAAAGCACTGTACATTCTACACGTATATAATATAGAATTGTAAACTGATGCTTCGTGGCTCCCATAGTTCACCACATATTGCCCCTCTGTCGTAAACTTCCACCTTTCCTTGCTCATCTGGTTAGCTACGATCAACTGAACATATCAACTAATATGTATGAATATCTCGTTAATCGTGAGTTTCAATAATATCATTCTTATACGGAAATATTTCTTTCAGTGAGCAGCTTATGGTTTTGATGCATGCTCGTGCTAGAAGACGATTCTCTCATGGTTTGAAGAGGAAGTCCATGGCGCTTGTTAAGAAGTTGCGTAAGGCAAAGAAGGAGACACCTCTGAATGAAAAGCCAGAGATCGTTAAGACTCATTTGCGTAACATGATCATTGTACCAGAAATGGTTGGGTCGATTGTCGGTGTATATAATGGGAAGACGTTTAATCAGGTGGAAATCAAGCCAGAAATGATTGGTCATTATTTGGGAGAATTCTCTGTTACATATAAGCCTGTGAAACACGGTAGACCAGGTATTGGTGCTACTCATTCCTCGAGATTTATTCCGCTAAAATAATCTGCGTTCTTATGCGAATAAAATACTTAAGAATTTATACAATTTTCTCTTTTTTCTGTACCTCTCAGATATTAATGTTATTGTAAATATTTATTAGGCTAAGTCTTACAAGCATTTTTTCCATTCATAAATAGCAATTATCAAAATTTGTTTACAATATTGGGTGCATGGCGTTCTTTTCTTAGAATGCCTCTTTCAAAATGGAAACCACCTTCATGTCCCATTTGTATGTAATGTTACCCGCTAAATATAAATTTGTCCTTACGTTGAACATTTTCACATTCGACGCGTTTCTCGTCGAACTTGTTTCTAAGTTTTAAACAAATATGATATGTTTTGTATTTAAAAAGCCAAGCATTAACCATTGTTATGCTCATAGTATTGAGTTTCGGCATAACGAGATAACGAGAACTTTAATAAATAACAATTAATTTTACAATAGAAATGTAATTAAATGTAGCTTCGGAACGTCTGCTCGAAACTGACAGCTTGACAGGCGGTCGATTCGATTCTTGTTTTGGTCGCGAGCACCAGCAGGGTTTGGATCCATCCAAAGGCTGCTCGCAACAGTATTGTTGTTCACGTGGTTACTGCCGGCTGTGTCATTCGAAAAGCAGTCCCGTTTTAAATATGGCAAAACAATTGGCTGATAAAATATTGGAGTATTTGGACGAGCACGAAGAAGTAAATTCTCTCGATTTGGCAGATATTTTCAAAGAGGATCATCAGAAAATAATTGGGGCTATAAAAAGCCTAGAAACGCTTGACAAGGTAAATTCGATATAACAAGTTTTTTATTACAGTCGTTTAGCAATAATCGAACAGTAAACATTGCTTAGAAATCGGTTCCTATATAAATGAATTTTTTGATAATTTTTCTATTGTAAATATGTAAATAAATCACAATATTTGTACCTGTCACCATAACCTCTAAAGTATTGTATTTATGCTTGCACCAAGTTAATCTTTCTTTTGAAAGTCAAATTAATGTTTTCGCAAGTGATTCCATATTTAATTTTGTTTCGCAGTTGATCGTAACTAACCAGGTAAGCGAGAAAAAGTGGAAGTTAACGACAGAGGGGCAACATGTGGTGAACTATGGGAGCCATGAAGTAGCAGTTTATAATTCCATCCCAGATAATGGCATATCTCAATCAGAACTTATGCAATCTGTGCCATTTGCAAAAGTTGGATTTTCTAAAGCGTTATTGGCTGGGTTGATAGAAATCGATAAATCCAGTGGGACAGCTGTTGTGAAAAAGAAAGCTTTTTTAGCACCTTTTATAGACGTCGTACAGAATAATCTGAAGGATCTTACGAACCTGACCGATCGCCAAAGGAGCGAATATAAGAAGAGAAAACTTATTCAAGAAGTGTAGGTTCCATCTAACATAAATAAACATTAACCAAAATCAAATAAGTTAACAATCATACATATGAATAATCTTTTTGTTGATAGGGTTATCAAGTCCATTCAGTTGGGACGAGGTGAATATTTTACAACCACGATTGAAAAGTTAGAAACGGAATTGACAGCGGACTTGCTGGTGAACGGCGCATGGAAAAAGAAGAAATTTAAACCATACAATTTTGCAGCACTTGGTTCTGCTCTCGAAGTGGGCCACTTGCATCCTCTGTTGAAAGTCAGGACCGAATTCAGAAAAATTTTTCTTGAAATGGGGTACGCAAGTCAACAGCATAAATGGAACATTCTATGTAGCTATTCGTTTTACTTCTGTAAATAGGCCGCATAATGCGTAGGTTCTTTCCCGGGAAGCATCAGACTACTCGCCATTCGTTTTACTTATGTTATTTATTATTTAGATTCACGGAAATGCCGACAAATAATTTTGTTGAAAGTTCGTTCTGGAACTTCGATGCATTATTTCAACCTCAACAGCATCCAGCTCGAGATGCTCACGACACCTTTTTCGTATCTGGTAGATTCATTAATAATTTTTGTTATATCCATTAATCATTTACAGGAAACTTACTTTAAATTGCAAATTTTATTTTCAGAGCCATCTCGTAGTACAAAGTTCCCAATGGAATATTTAGAGAAGGTGAAGCGTGTTCATAGCGAGGGTGGTTATGGGTCTATAGGCTATTGTTACGACTGGAAATTAGAGGAAGCCCAGAAGAACATTCTTCGTACTCATACGACAGCTGTTAGCACTAGGATGCTTTACAAGCTGGCGCAGCAGGTAAATTAGAATTTATATTATATCTTTCATGAATGAGAATGTTTGTTTAGTCAATGTTGTAAGTAGTAGGGTTTACATCTTCTAGTATTAAGAAGATTAATGCATTTCAGGATGATTTCAAACCAGTGAAATTCTTCAGCATCGATAGAGTATTTCGCAATGAGACTTTGGATGCCACGCATCTCGCAGAATTTCACCAAATCGAAGGTGTAATCGCTGACTATAATCTGACGTTAGGCGATCTGATTGGAATTCTGTATGAATTTTTTAAGAAACTTGGTATTACGCAGCTCGAATTTAAACCTGCGTATAATCCGTACACGGAACCAAGCATGGAAATCTTTTGTTTCCATAATGGCCTGAACAAGTGGATAGAAATTGGTAACAGTGGAATGTTCCGACCAGAAATGTTGTTACCAATGGGATTACCGGAAAACGTGAACGTAATTGCATGGGGATTGTCTCTGGAAAGGTACTTAAAAACAAATATAAATACGAACGTAATCTACATGGTAACATAAAACTTGAAATAAATTTTCTCCAGGCCTACTATGATTAAATATGGATTGAACAATATACGAGATTTGGTAGGATCGAAAGTGGATTTGAAAATGGTTTATAACAATCCTATTTGTCGCTTAAACAAGTAAATATCTTTCTAAACATTATTAAGGTATTTATGTTAACATATTTATTTATGTTATGTAGCTTATAAATTGTTGTTTTCGGCATCTTTTAATCATTGAAAACTAAAAAACAACAAAAATAAAGTATTTAATATTTTCGTGACAGGACCACCCATAATCCTCTGCAAAGTCGAAAGCCCAACGACCAGAAAGAAAAATCGATAGAGCAGAAATCGGGCATGCATAAATCTAGCGATATCGAACGTCGAAAATTGGAGAAACAGAAATTTGTGATATTCTGCGACCCAAAGCATCCGATTAATTTCCTAGTGTCTTTCTTCCGCCTCGTTAAACCCTACGTGAATATTTTTGTATCGACTCACACGCATTCCAGTGTTCGTCACTTGCCAAAAGAATTATCAACATTTTGTTTAGATTATCGAAACAGAGATCGGGATGTAGAACTGGATGCGACGATAATTTGGAAGGAAATCGGAATCGATCCATCGATGCAGTTACCAGGAATGCGTCAGATAATGGGTCAAGTAAATATAGCGCGGTACCTGAATCGCTTAATTGAAAATTATTACCCGGATGTATTGCCTTACGAGAGCAGAGGTGTATTGTACGCAAATCAAATAGATAATTATTTAGAGAAGATACACAGCGGATTGCATAAGAATGAATTCAAAGGTATCCAGAAGAAGTCACGTTACCTAATGGGCGAGGACGCGTCCATCGCGGACATCGTTTTGGAGTCCCTCGAGAAGCATAAACCGTCTGGACATAAATAAAACGAAGATAAAGTTTTACTGAAATCTTGTCAACTAAATTTTAATAAATGTTATATTTATTATAAATATTATTTTTCGATGTTAAATATGTACTATACCGTCGTATTTAATTTAGTTACGTGAAGTAACTCGTTTCACGTTTATTTATGGTTCCGAACGGAATTGGATTAAATTTCTTTTCAAAGTATAAAATAATTGCGTTTTGTTTTTCATTTCACAGTGTGATTGAACTTACTGCTCAGCTGATTCTGCTGGAATACTTACTGATGGAGTATGCGAATGTGTGTCGAGTGTGCGTGGTGTATGCCTTCGAGCACTTTCAATATCAATATTTTAACAGACACTGGAATTAAACACGAGATAGATATTAAATTAAATAAAGCATGCTGGACGTGTTTTCCGTTCGTTCGTGTAACACGGAGGTAAAGGAACGATGGAAAGGTTGCTGTGCAAGATCAACGCCATTCAATTATTTATTACTCTAGTTTTATTTTTGCACGAATCCTGCGTTGTGTAGAACATTGTATATCTTTTCGCGTGGAATTTTATCCGTCTCGCGGTCGATTACCTGTAATAAAAATGAGAAATTAGTCAGCCTCTTAAAGGTGAAGCTTGACGTTCACCTTGACCTTCGCGTTGAGAAATGACGCATAAATTAGATTACAATGGAAAACAAGAAATATTCGACTCGCCTGCATCTCTTTGTTAATGAACCACGACTCCTGCGCGAGCCTGGCAGCGATTCTGGGATTTTTGTAAAAGTCGTTCTTCAAGTGGTTGGGCAAAGTGTCCTCCAGCGCGGAAGTGAGCAAATTGGCAGGATGTGGGTAGTACCCGGAACCAGAGGGAATGTAATACTGAGGCGCAGCTGCGCATACTCCAACAACCACGACTAGGACAATGATAGCATTCATCTTCTGCAAAAAGACACCGTCCTTTTTCGTTTAAATACGTTTATTTTTCATTATACACCCAAGCAATTAAAAATGATTCGAGTAACCGCAGGGAACTGTTCAGGTTTAATATTTCATCGCGATATCGATGCACGCTCGCTGAGCATTCACCACGTCAAGGAGAATTTAAAGCTAGACGTAATTGTACAAGAATATGAAGAACGTTATATAGATTAGAAATTATATGAACCAGAAAATGAGAATATAAAATGAAGGTACAAAAAACTTTCTTCATCCCTAAAATTTGTTCTTCTTCTCAAATACCATATCTAAACTGTATATTGATATTGCAGGCATATAATATGGACCAAGAAGTCAGCATTCTCTGCAATAATATTCAGAAGACTTCAACCAGGAAATGGAAATATAAAATGAAGGTACAAAAAACTTTCTTCATCCCTAAAA